CTAACAGTGGACTCAATTTGCACTATTTCTGGCAGTCTGTAACCCCCTATAGTCTCCTCTGAGTTAACTGAGTGCAAACTACTTTTGCATTTTGAACTTGGGGAGAAGCAGACTGGTGGCACGGGGCCGCCCTGGGAAGGTGCGCCGCAGGATCGAGGCATCCCCATACCTCGATCCTGTGGCGCTCCTTCTCCGTCCCTGAAAGGAGCGCTAAAATAGTGCTCCTTTCACAAGTCAGCGAAATTGCGGCTCAAAAGCGTGAGGCGCACTTTCGCTGACTTATCCACCACAGCGTGTCAGGACGCTGCGGCGGGAGGTTGCCCCCGGAGCGCCAGCCGTGCGGAGGGCCGGTGGCTCCGAGGGCAACCTCGGGAGGAGGAAGGGCCACCGAGCGTGCGGCTGCCCCTCCTCTTCCCTGCCTCCAAGACGGCTTAATAAGCGTCTGCTGAGGCCCTTAGTTTACAACAAGTGAAGTCAGCTGGACAAAGGGGAAAAACAAGAGGAGGAGAGATAAATGGGGATATTTTAAAAGCAACAGAAAAGTGGGATAACAGAGGATTAATTCGAACTGTTCCTATCAAGTGGGGACAGTTGGAAGGTATGGGAAACTACTGGGAGTGGGGGAAACTGGAAGGAAGGGCTGTGTGTGGCCACCGCTTAGATAAGAGAGACAGTGTGGAAGTTGCCCACACCTGACCATAAGTTTTCCCACAGGAGATATCTGACACAGGAGGGCACTGTTAAAGCTAAATATTTTTGTGACTTACAGAAAGGGATTCAGGAACATCTCCAGCACTGCCTTTATTCTGGCTCTTACACATGGATATCCCCAGTTTGCCAAATCTTTTTTGCTCTGCTGTGTATTTCAGCATCAGGTATCTGGAATTCCACATTGTCCTCACATCCTGTATCATATGGTGCTGAGACACTCAAACACTATTTAACTAAAAAATTATAAAAGATAGTACAATTCAAACTATTATTACTGTTATTACAGGGTGACTAGATGTAGTAACCACAGAGGAGGACAAGGTACCACAAAATGGTGGATCTTCAAGAAAAAATGTTGGATATTACAATATAAAAGCTAAAAACACTAATATAAATATAAATTCATGCTTCTTAGTCATGTTCAAAGTGGAGGACATTTTGGAATTCCTTCTGGATAGAAGGTTGACATGGAGGACATGTCCTGGAAAAAGAGGAAATCTGCTTACCTATTATTATTATTATTATTATTATTATTATTATTATTACATTCACCATTTATATCTTGCCTTTTCCCAACTAAAACATTAATTTACAAATGTAAAAAAAAAAAAAGGAATTAAAGTTTCACATTATTAAAAACATGATTGAAAATAGCTAAAACACGAAAAACATTTAAGATCTAAGGATAAAAGACAATATCTGCACATCTGTAGAAGCCATGATTCTTTAGGATATTACAGTATGCTTTTCATTGCCATCCATATTGCATTGCCCAGTTTCAAGTCAAAAGGTTAACATTCTAAACTGGAAGCTTTTGAAAAGCAAGAGGGTGTGTCTGCCATATCTTATTGAGAAATCATAATAAATACTTCAAAGTTTTATTGAGTGTTTTTGGCTTTTAGTCAAACTGTAGTGGGTTTTAAGACAAAATTTGAAACTGAGAACTTCCTAAAAACAAAAGAGGACCACCCATAACTCATTTGGAGATGTGGTTCAATATATAGGAAGACCTGCTGAGATTTTTCAGAGAGGGAGAAAAACAGGTATAGCATTGCTACTCTATCTTTGATTTAAAAGGGTGTGTGTGTGTGTGTGTGTGTGTGAGAGAGAGAGAGAGACAATAGGAGACTCCATTGATTTCTCTGCAGATGAGGTAGAGACTAAAGTAGTGCCATGTACAACTCAGCTAGAAAAGAAAAGATGGCTTCCTAGAGGGCTGCACAATTTCCATCGCTCCATTGAGATAACATCAAAGATACACAAGACAAGATTTTCATCTCCTCATCAAATTCAAATTCCATTTTGGAGCTACCTGAACAGTTATGATGAGACACTAGCATGGGTAGTGGTGGTGGTGGTGGTCCCAGCCTCTTGGTGAGATAAGCTTAAGGAATGCCATGGAGCCGAGCTACCGCTAAGAATATTTATGCACACATAAAAGGGATTATGCTGAATAGACTACATGCATCACCACCAGTACTCTGGTGTCCTCAGCTTCTACTAAGGGACATTTTGACCAATATTATGTCTATACCAGATATTTGGCCGACGCAGAGCTGTGGTCCTAAACACAAATACCTGAAAACTGGTTTGGTAGCAAATGGAAGTTCATGTCACTATATTTGTACATGGGTCAGTATGTTTATTTCTTCAACACAGTCCTTCACCCATTGCAGAAAGCAGTGTGCAGATAATGTATTCATTACAGATAACAGAAAGATTAGCCTATACTTTGTTCTGTCAGTCTTTTCATTTTCTTATGTATCAGAAGCACAGTTCCTCTGTTCTTTTTTTCTGTTTCAATTTTTTAAAGCTTCCACAATGTAAATAACCACCACCAACATCATCATAACCACAGTCATGATGCTGATTATGTTGTTTGTATCATATATTTTCTGTCTTTATAATATATTTTAAAAAAAAAGGAGTTTGGGTTACACCATAGTTATTTTGAAAGTCTTCATGTCATTTTTTAAAAAGTATGTGTGCATGTATGTGTGTGTACATGCTCACACACATGCACACACATTTATTTTTAGTATGTTATGGGGACCCGCTTTCATAGGATATTTAATTCAAGTGAATTAGAAATATTGGCTTAAGAGTAATCAGTGCATCTGAAACAGACTGAAATCTATGAAAGCTCATGGCACATATATGAGCAACTTATATTGAGTCCTACACAATTTTAATTGTTTAAACCTTTATAGTGGTGACCTTTACCCAAATTGTTAGGCATGATCACTTGTA